TATAATTGTTTATTGGGCGTTCTTTGTAATAAACAATTAGGGGCCGGAAATGTATGGGTTAAATAAGCTGGGTCTTTCTGGAGCCTGTGTTTTTTGAGTATGCCATGCCAGTAGAGGGCGCCCTTGAATGTTAGCGATAAAGTTCTGCGCTTGTTGATGTAATAGCGGAGCGACTACGTGCGTGTGTTGGAGTTTTCGGTATGTACGGTTTGTAAGCTTAGTATTGAGGCATACAGTTTTTCTACCGTGATTAACATAACAATATACTGCTGTGTCATTGTTCATCTGTGGATTTTGAGAGGAAGACAAAAAGACAACGGTGGACTTGTATATATCTATAAATAACTGGACTGAGAGAGTGTGTGTACCGGGGAGTGTGAGTGTTGAACTGTGTGTTAACTATCACTTTGTTGTACAATTCACTTGGTAACTGAAGTTCAGTGTTCTGGTGGTTTTTCCCTGACCTTTAGATTCTGATAACGGCCTATAGCCGAGCATATGTTTACAAATATATTGTGTTGAGGGCGAGGTTCGTTACAAACGTGTTTACACTCTGACACGCCACGGCCCTGGAACAGTGCGAGTTTTAATACAAGGTTTGATTTGTTGATTCTGAATAAAATGTTGTACAATTATTGACAAAGAACCAGACATATAGTAATGAAATGAGAAACAAGAAAGACGCGAATGTTCAAAATGCACAACAGTGCTGTGATATGTGAATTTATGAAATAAATAATAACTTAAAAAGAACCTTTTTTGCTACGCTGGTTTGTTGAGCACAGATGCTGTGTGTGGGGCTCTCTCTCTCTCTTCTAGCTGTCAGGGCAGAGAGGACAGAGAGACACTGGCTGATCGCCCAAATATGGCGTGGTCGGTGAACCCAAACGCGGAGAGACGCGAGAGAGTTGGATAGCCACACAGTTTGTTCTTCGAGCGCTCTTGGGAGAGGGCAGGGAATCCCACAGGGATATCTGCGCTCGGAGACACACACAGCTCCGGGAAAAAAGGCACCGAATGGCTGAGTAAATGCTGGGAAGCGAGGCGGGGAGAAGATGGCAAGGAGAGGGGAGGAGAGATGATAAGGGAGGTAATAGGTAACAACAATGGAGGTAGATGTGATAAACACACAGGAGCTCGGTCATGAATAATCCCTGGCTCATGATCTTGTCACTAAAGTGGATTAGGAAACAAACTGCAAAGTCTATTCAACATTATTTTGACATTGTTTGGAAGAGTTTATAAGTGTAAACGTTATCGCAACTCATTATGTATTTTGGTTTTATAAATTTGGGTCCTGGGCAGACACCAAGTTTCTCTTTTGGGTCTTGAATTGAAAAAGTTTGGGGTCACTGGATTTAAACATTTCAGAAGGCATAGGAGAGTAAAGGTGTTCAGCTTGGAGTGTTTTTAAGTAACAACAGAACAATAATATTAAATTGCCAGTGATCATTAATTTATTAACTTTCGGCAATCATTTAATCCTGGCCACAATCATGCGAGAGCCAGCTCCTATCCTAAGAACACTAGGCAGATAATGATAGTGCAGACAGTAGAATAACAGTGAACAGTTATAGCCTTACTGTTTATTAACTTAACTTTGTGATACAGTGATGTGATCTTATCAGCATGTGTTCATAGGAAAGAAACTAAGAAATTCCCTTGAAACAATGATAAGAGATTTAACCTGTTGAGCCACTAACTGTCATGCACTCAAGTTTCGCTCAGACATGGTCATGTGACATTGGCGTTCTGAACTTTGGACCAGAGTTGTGAAACATCTGCGTTTAGGAAGATCGACACAGCATCGAAACATCAGTATTGAATGTCTCTAACAGAAGTGGACCGCACCAGTGGTGGCTGATATTGTTTGTTTAGTTTCTTGCTAAAAAGAGGAACCTTATCTTTTTATCCTTGACCTTGGTTAAATGAAAAGAATTCACAGAAGCTGACTGCCTCCAGAACTTTACACCATGATCATTTTGGCTCTGTTCATCTTCACTGTCCTGGCAGAAGTGCCTGTTTGGGCAAAAGTTGTTACTGATTTTGAGGAGTGCAAGGAGTTTTTTTATAAGGACACTGAACCACAGGGCATGGATCAAAACGCCAGGAAAATTTGCCAGAAATATGAGTATGGAGGGAATTTCTATGCTTCACTTTACTCAACATACCACAGGATTCCTGTGTACAGTGCCTACAAATTTGATCCCTCCTGCAGAAATCAAGAGGCACGAAAAAGCGGTAACTGGTTCATTGAGCCTCAGGTGAGATGTCTTTTTTTAGGGGAGTAAGGAGGGTCAATTATGAACATCATGTGATAGCTATGTAGTATTGTGAACTGAAAGTTAAAATCTAAAGGCCCAAGTATTAGGCTATTTCAGCGGACCCAGCCGTGCGGCCATGTGTCCACAGAATATACTCAGTTTTCTGCTGGACGTGTACTGTACCTGTCACTGAATGATTGCGCTCTGTGACTTTAATACTGCCCAAAAAGCGTGGTCTGAAACAATACAATAAAACAAAAACCAGAACATAAAAGGCATGTGCGGCAGTTTGCAACTTTACAGAAAATAGCTTATTTAATTGTTTAATGCTGATATTGGAAGAAAAAGAATGAGAAAAGACGAAGAAAAACATTCTAACGTTTAGTACATTCTTCTGTATTACCCACCGCTACTACTCTCATCTGCTGGACGGAGAAGTATTGCTAAATTTCGCACATGCGCAGGCAACGCGCACAGGCCGCGTGATATTTGCGTCATGACTGTGGTCTCTTTCAGCAGGATAATGCACCCTGGTGTTCTGACAAGTTGAGCTATCTATCGAGACGTGCTATCGAGCCTTTCGGCGCATGTGCAGTTCCAACGTCTTGGAATTAGGGTTAGGGGTTAGGGTTAGAGTTTTAGGGGTTTTTGGGGGGTTAGGGTTAGAGTAAGAGTTAGGGTTAGGGCTATTGATTAGCACTACGGTAGCACTACTCGACAAAGTAGCTCAACTTGACAGAACACTGGCACAAAGCAAGGAGTGGTTTGAAGAGCACAACAACAACAAGGTTGAGGTGATTCCTTGCCTCCAAATTCCCCAGATCTCAACCCAATCGAGCATCTGTGGGATGTGCTGGACAAACAAGTCCGATCCTTGGAGGTTCCACCTTGCAACTTACAGGACTTAAGGGATCTATATATATACTCTACTGTGTGCGGACTGCATAAACTGAAGCAAACTTGATGTTAATGAGGTTGATAATTCCATAAGCATCATCACTTTTTGATTTCATACCTTCAAATTTGTGCTGTATGCGATACACCAGTATAGAGAAATAGTGGCATATATATCAAGAAAAACTTACATTAATAATAATAATAATAATAATAATAATAATAATAATAATCAACTTTCCCCCCTCAAAATATAAGCACTAGTTTTCAGATCACCATTTACAATGTATCAAAGCTGGAAACAAAATAAATGCACCAGGAAAACAGTGACGAGTGCTGAGGTTGAAGAAGGAAAACCCAAATAGGAAATAATTTTTGCAGAGTTTTTTCAGCCTATCAAAACATAGAAGCCTTCAAAACAAGTTTCAATTTTGCTTGAAACAAAGTTGCAAAACAGTTTTTTTAATTAGATTTAACCTTTATAAGTTTTGTTTTATTAGATTCTGCATTTTTTGTGTTCCCTGGCCATTTAATTTCAAAGAGCATCAAAGAGACTTTTTATGCGATCATAAAAATATGTTGTTACATGTACTATTTTATATACT